GGGGGGTGCCAGCGGGGTGGCCCCTGCGGTGCAGCGGAAGTGCTGGTGGAACTGGACTGGGAGGCTCAGTCGGAGGAAGAGCATCTCCACCAGGCTGTTCTGGGAGCCCCAGGTGCGGTGAGTCAGACGCAGACACGGGGGCGTGTCCACAGTGCCGTCCACTCGGGCTACCTGGGGTGGCAGGGAATGGAGCACTGAGCTGGGCAGGTGGGCTAGGCCAGGCCGTTGGTCCCACACCAGATCAGGAGTTTGAGACCAGCCTGGCCAATATGGCAAAACCCCGTCTCTACTAAAAATACAAAAATTAGCCAGGCATGGTGGCGCATGCCTGTAATCCCAGCTACTCAGGAGGCTGAGGCAGGAGAATCACTTGAACCCGGGAGGCAGAGATTGCAGGGAGCTGAGATTGCACCATTGCACTCCAGTCTGGCAACAGAGACTGACTCCATCTCAAAAGAAAAAAAAAAATAAAAGCAAAACAGGAAAACCACTGCCATTGTAGGGAAAAAGCAGATTTAGTACCTTCTCAGAGTCTCCCTTTAAGTTAGCTTTTGGGGGGTACATTTGCGACACAGAAAGGATCCCCATTTAGAAGACCACTGGGTGTTCACTGGGATGCCTTAGGGTGCAGTAAACTCTCCTAGAGAGATACTGAAGTCCCTTTTAGTGTCCACGGATGATAAGGTCCATTGGGAGAAGCCCTTTCGGGCCCTCCAAGTACTGAAGAATAATAGAGCTCTCCATACAGATAGTAGGGTACCCAATTATATATCCTTGGGGACATTAGGACATCCCGGGAAAAAATGGGGTTCACTGGAGACATGATAGGATTCATCCATGTATTTATCAAGAATACAAGGAGTATTCTTACTCCACTTAGCATATATGGGGCTACTTTGGGGTACAATGGGGGTTTCTCAGGTTACTGTGGCTGCCAACTTAGGGGGTCCCAAGGCAGCCCCCAATCCCCACTCTGGGCCCCCTCGACTCACCCTCTCTTCTTGTTCTTCTCAGTGGTGGCGTCCTTCTCATTCTCAGCCCTGGCGGGCTGTGCCTCTCCCCCCGCCTGCGGGGTGCCCCCGGGGGCGCCCTCCTTCGCAGTCCCTTCTTTGCCGTTCTCGGCCTCGCCCCAGCCCCCAGCTGAGCGGCGCAGGTTTTCGTAG